TCTCAAATAAAAGAGTTCACCTTAAATGAAATTTAGAAAGGTTTTCTTCACAGCTTAATGTTTTGGCTTAAATAAATCACTCTGCTGAGTCAGACAGTACATTTCCCTCAAATAATAAGCAAAAATAAGAAAAAAAAAAAAAATTGGAAGCCCCCCCCCCCCCCAAGCTCTGATTCAGAAGTGTAGTGGAGCAAATATCTGGCAGTACTGGGAAGGACATTGGTTGTAGAGCTACAGCAAAGACACTGAGTTTATCATAATCGTATTTATCAAGGAAAGATGATAATAACTCTTCTGAGGATAGACCTGATACGTTTGTTTTGGGGGTTTTAATACTAATTTCCCTTGAGAACAGGAGCTGCAACTTTATATAAAGGTGTGGAATATTATTGTGACCTGTGCTGGAGATGAATCTTGTTAGTTATAAACAGGAAGTAAAATAAGCAGGAGTAGCAGAAGATAATTATTTTTAAAATCCGCTAAGTTACTCAGATAGCACCTGTGTTTTGTTTTGAAAGTGGCTGAAAGGCAGCTGGTAGTAATCTCTGTTTGTGAGTTCAACCGTATGAATTGTACTAACGTGAAGTGCGTAGACAAGCGAAGGATGTTGTAGGAACGTAGCACTGTGCATGGTAATTAATTCAGTATGGTTAATTAAGGACAATAACATGTAATTTAAGTCTTCAAACTAATTTCTTGCTTATATACAGGATGTGAACAGGTGTATTGAGGCTCTTGATGAGCTTGCATCCCTTCAGGTCACTATGCAGCAAGCTCAGAAACATACAGAGATGATTCTGACCCTAAAGAAGGTGAGATCTGCAAGTCAAAGTAATCTGTTTTCTTAAACTGATACCAGCATTATTTACTACTGGAGTACTGTGTCCGCTTATGGTCCCGACAGTTCAAGAACGAGGTGGACAGACAGGAGAGGGTCCAAAGGAGGGCTGGGAAGATGATCAGAGGGCTGGAGAACCTGCCCTGTAAGGGAAGGCTGAAGGAGTTAAGTCTCTTCCTGCTGGAAAAGTCTGAGGGTGGACCTCACCATAGAATTCCAGCACTTAGGGGCAGCTACAAAGCGGGGCAGGCTCTGCCCCCACAAGGAACCACATGGAGAAGACAAGGGGCAGCGGGTACAAGTTGCACCGGAAGAGGTTTTATTGCACTATAAAAAAGAAGCTGCTTCCGAATGAGAACAATCGGTTGCTGGAACAGCCTCCCCCGGGGATGCTGTAGTGTTCCCATGGCTGGAGGTTTTCAGGATGCGATTGACAGGGTGCTTGATAGCCTCACCCAGGCTCCCTTTCCCACAGAGGGTTGGACCAGATGATCTTTTGAGGTCCCTGGGCTGTTCTGTGATACTTCAGAGAGCGCAAAAGTCTATGATCTCATTTCAGGTTAAATTGCAGATTTCATCTAGCGCGCACTGAAATCAAACGGGTGTTTAAGTACCGAAGTGGCGCTCATTGTTTCCCTACTTTCATTTCAGATACGGAAATTCAAAGTTAGCCAGGTTATCATGGAGAAATCTACCATGCTATATAACAAGTTCAAGACCATGTTCCTGGTTGGGGAGGGAGATTCTGTCCTTTCCCAAGTACTGAATAAATCGCTTGCTGAGCAGAAGCAGCACGAGGAAGCCAACAAAACCAAAGAACAGTGGAAGAAAGGAACAAACAAAAAAACAGAGAAGGAAAAGGACCAAACAGGTAAGCCACTGTATCTTTAGTTTCTTGTCATACTAAAGACCTCATCTCCATCCATTTCCAAGCCAGCTACAGAAAATCCTTGCTGTAGGAATGCTACCCATCTACTAAAACCTTTACAGATCTGAAATAGTCAAGGATAATACTGCAGTAACGAAGTTGCAGCTTCAAGGGTATAGTGTTTTCTGTAGCTACTTCACCTCTGTTGTCTGAAGGGAAGGGCTTTTCCAAGAACAGCGTGTAGCATTTCTTACTTCTCTGTGAACTTTGACTTCATTACCTTATGGAATTAAAAAACCAAACACATTAAACATGAGGTAAAATAACCTAACTACCTTCCGTGCCTCAAGTAGCGTTTTGGTGCCTAGACTAAAGCCACCTGTGCTTTAACTGCTTAATTTCCTTCACTAGCCTCTTCCTGTGTCATGGGTATTAACTACTGTGTGTAGCGCCAGCTTCTGACCACTTCTGTGATGTAGCTTCAGTAGTTCAGCTACTTCAGTGAGGCTGAGAGAGTTGGGCTTGTTCAGCCCAGGGAAGAGAAGGCTCCGCGGAGACTTCTCTTAGCACCTGCCAGTACCTGAAGGGGCCTACAAGGAAGCTGGGGGGCACTTTTTACAAGGGCCTGTAGTGACAGGACAAGGGGTAATGGGTTTAAATTGAAAGAGAGGAGGCTTAGATTGGAGATCAGGAAGAAGTTCTTCACGGAGAGGGTGGTGAGGCACTGGCACAGGTCGCCCAGAGATGTCTGACCAGGTTAGAGTGGTAAACAGAACTTACTGCTGACATATATTCTCTCACTGCTCAGGATGTAAGTAAGCACTTGTCCTACTACTTGTAGCCTGGTGAGCATGAGAAGAACTTGAAATCTTATAAAATATACACACAGTTCATTTCCCATTACCAAAATTACGGGATGAGGCTCGTTACCTGGAATTTTCAGAAGTTGAAGATGTATAGGTTCCTGCTTTCTGTGTTGTTTCAGCTGCTGGGAATCAAGGGAGAAAACAGTGTTTGAGTCGATGAAGGTGGAGTAATTACCTGGATCTTTTCATAGCACAGTTTTGCTGCTGACAGTACTGTTTTCTTCCCCTGCCCTTTCCTTTCAAAGGTTCAAAGGTTCTGAATGGCGGGTCTGAAGCTCAAGACACCAGCCAGTCACAACACAACGGAGAGAACACTGATGACAAGAAAGACAAGCATGATGTTGGCAGTAAGAAAAAGTGAGTTGCTAACTTTGCGAACCAGCGATCTGTTCTGCTGTAGCAAAATGACGTGAATAGCGCAGCAGAAGTGGCTTAACCATGCTGAGGTGCTCTTTTCCTTACAGAGTTTTCTCTCAGCTCCAGGGAACGATAGTGGCATTCAAATCTTCTGTTGAAGTTTTGAATCAGCAATTTTGAAACTTCACTCGCTGCTGTAGTGAAGACTTCAAAAAACCCCAAAAAACTACGGGATGTCCTGTTAGGAGAAGATCAGGATGTGGTGAGACAGGGTGAGGTATAAGCTGCTGCCTGTGTTTTAGACTACTGGATGTTTCTGAGTTCATGCTGGGTTGGCTCTGGCTGGAGGCCAGTCCCCACCCCACCTCAGCTGCTCTGTCACTGCCCTCTGCAGCTG